CACTGTCAGAGTTCCTGATCATGCTCAGAGTTCCTCATCACTGTCAGAGTTCCTGATCATGCTCAGAGTTCCTCATCACTGTCAGAGTTCCTGATAATATCAGAGTTCCTGATCGAGCCCAGCCAATAAGGGACGACCATGCAGACTGGGTGCTGGGAGGAAGGTATATAAGGCCTTCCCTGTTACTGAATAAACAAGCTCATTATTTGCCTTGCGTTGACTCCTGGTGTCTGTGCCGTTGACGCTGCGCCTTCTCACCCGCCCCCAGGGAGCCATTAGGGTCCCGCAGCAGGTACCTACCTTGCTCCATCTTTCTCCCTCGTTTCTGTCTCTTTCTTTTGTTTACCTTCGGCTCTCGTCCTTGGTCCTCCCCACAGTCTGTCCTTCCTCTGTCTCATTTCCAGTCAGCAGGGAACATGTTTTCTTGTTTCCCCAGGCTGCCGGGAAGGGTTTGAGGATGTCCGTGGCTGGGTGGTCTCAGGTGTGCTGGCCACGCATCCACCTGCCCCCATCAACGCAGCCTCCTGTGGTGAAGAGTCAAGCCACAGAGAAACGCGGGCACTGATGGAGAGGAGGCCACGGCCACCAAGGGAGAGGAGATGCCGAGTCTCCTGTGCCCTCTGTCCACACCAAGTCCGCTCCTGTTCTGTTTCCTTCTCAGGGAGTTACCGACTCCCACTTGAGAGTGTGTGGAGGAAGACTATTTGGGGACCTCGCTATGGGGTTGTGTGTCCTGTAAGGTGCTGACCCCGCATGAGCAATCAAGACAAAGCCTATTTGGGAGGGAAAAGAAAGCCCCAAAAGGGTTCTGGGAAGTTCCGTGGCGCCACCTTCTCACCCTTGATTTGCTTTCCGTGGGTCTCGTGGCTTCACCAGCTCTTCCCTTGTAAATGCACGTTTAACTTTGCTTCTGTTCTTCCTCTTATCAATATTTATTATAGTGACTTATTTGTGGGGTTGGGGAGCTCACCCCACGGTGCATATGGAGGTCAAGAGGCCAACTTCAGTTTTCCCACAGTGTGGGGCCTGGGAATCAAAGTCAGTTCATCAGGCTAAGCCATCTCACAGCCCTCAGTTAGCCTAGGCTGCTGTGGATATCGCTCTGTATAAATAAACACTGATTGGCCAGTGGCCAGGCAGGAAGTATAGGAGGGACAAGGAGAGAGGAGAATTCTGGGAAGCAGAAGGCTGAGTCAAGGAGACACTGCCAGCTGCCTCCATGACAAGCAGCATGTGAAGATGCTGGTAAGCCACAAGGCATGTGGCAAGGTATAGATTTATAGAAATGGGTTAATTTAAGATATAAGAACAGTTAGCAAGAAGCCTGCCATGGCCATACAGTTTGTAAATAATATAAGCGTCTGTGTGTTTATTTTATAAGTGGGCTGTTGGACTGACGGGGCTTGGTGGGACCCAGAGAAAAAAACCCAGCTACACTAGGCTGACTCAAACTTGCTAAATAGCTCAGGCTACCCTTGACCTCATCGTGGAGCCCAGGTTGGCTTTGAAAACTGTCAGCCATCCTCCTGCCTCAGCTTATTCCCACTTTGATAGCCTTCTCTAATACCCAAGAGTTTTTAACTTTGGTGGCATCCAGTTTACTTCACTTTTGCTTTGGTGTATGTGCTGTGGGGTGAGTGCCAAGCCTGTGGAGGTCAGAGGAGGGTGGAGGATCCCCAGCAGCTGGAGCTGCAGACAGTTGTGAGCTGACAGATGTGGGTGCTGGTAATTGAACCCTGGTTCTTGGAAGAGCTGCCAGCACCTGAATTGCTGAGCCATCCCCCTGGCCCAGGAGTCAAGTCCACATGCCTATCAAAACCTGCACCATGTTGAGCTTCCCAAATGTGCCACCACTGCCCTGCTTCTGCTATGGCTTGCTATTAGCTCTGACCCCAAGGCAACTTTATTTATTAACATACAAATAAAATCACATTTCAGTACAAGTAAAATACCACCATACAGGTGCCTCTGAGTTTGAGTGCATTCCAGGGACACCGGGGTCCTTGCAGAGGCAGGACAGCACCCCCCCCCCAGGGTAGAACCGCAGTGGAGGTCGTGCTGTGGACCCAAGGGAAACTACTAGCTGACAGAACACCAAGATGGGAGGTGCCTGGGATGTGGAGAGTGCAGTGGAGATTTTGAAATCCTCCTTACAATGAAAAGAGCAGGGTCTGAGTCCCTAGCAATGGGAGCCCTAGGGCTGCCTCGAAGGCTGGTGTTAGGCTATGATAGCAGGGCAGTGCACAGAGGCTTCCGGGACCTGGCGTGCTGAGCACTGGAGGCCTTGCACTCACCGGGCCCCTGGAGGAGGTGGAGGACAGCTGAGGTGAGCCAAGTGAAAATTGCTGTGCAGGGAGGCCTGGGAAAGTCACCAGTCAGCAGCCGGAAATGCTGGCAGCCACAGCCCAGGAGCCTTGCAAACTCCCAGGTCAGAGGAGCTGCAGGCCTGGGACACAGGAGGGACCAAGAATGTGCTCACTGAGCCTTCTCAGAAAGCGAGCAGTGGCGGCAGGCCCCTGGCGGTGGCTCAGCAGACCAGCACCAAGTACCCCAGGTCTCAAGGGGACCATGCTGGGACTCCCAGTCTGCACATAGCCACCTCCTCCTAGGAGGCAAGCAGCAGTGGCAGGAAACACAGGGGCAGCTGAGACCCACGTGGGTGTGGTGGGTGAGCCCTCCCCTTTGCCTCAGAATCATTACTAAACATGGGTAAACCCAAACCTGAAAAAAAATGCTCATGGTGCATGGGAATGGTTTGCATTATGACTTGGACAGTTATACAAATCCTTCAGAGCAGCTGGTGAGCCAGGCGCTGATTTTGAGTGTTCAATGAAACATTAAGAATGGTATCAGAACTGACTTTTTGAAATTTTCAGGCTTAAGAAATGGATGGAAGGAGTGGTTCAATTGAAATGGAACTGTTTTGTATATAAAACTGTGATGACTCAAGAACTGTTTATGTAGAAATAGAGAAGTTTGGTTTTTTCTACCGAGACTCAAGCCTTAAAAAATTATAAACAAAAGGGGGAGTTAATATTCCTCAGTCTCTTTAATTTTTTTTCTTCTCCCTTGAGTGGATTAATGTTAACTTGTGTTAATGTACCCTATGTTTTGTTAGCAAAAAGTATAAAAAGTTCTATTAAGAGACTGCTTTTGGATGTTTGCTAAAGTTTGTAAAGTGTAAATAGTTCTATTAAGAGTTTGCTTTTGGATGTAAGTTTGTGAGAATTGTAATTGTGTATAGTAATCATACTAGCATTATGATGTTAACCTATTAATGTTAATGTTGATGCTAAGAAGTCTTTAGACTTGATGTGTATGCATCAGTTTACTGATTTATTTGATGTGGTTGTATCAGGAGTTTATTGATTTAAAAACGGGTTTGGTGCAGCTAAGGCTGCTATAGTCATCTTAGACCCATTTAAAAGGGCCATTCCTGGCTGTGTGGCAGTGGCGCACACCTTTACCTTTAATCCCAGCACTTGGGAGGCAGAGGCAGGTGGATCTCTGTGAGTTCGAGGCCAGCCTGGTCTACAGAGAGAGATCCAAGACAGGCACCAAAACTAAATGGAGAAACCCTGTCTTTGTTTTTCCAGGAAAAACAAAACAAGGGGCAGGTAGGGTGGCAGGTGGCGGCCGAAACACAGTTGCAATAAAGACCAGAAACTGAGCTATTACCCACTGAAGAGCTACTGAAAACAAGCTCTTAATCAAGAGCTTGGAACAGGGATGCCTTTAATCCCAACACCCGGGGAAGAATCTATCTCCGTGGGATGGAACCAGAATGAATCTGAACACTCCATCTGAGGCCAACCCAGGACCCAGCTGCTGATCCTGTGAAACCCAACAACTTGGAGATGTTGGTGAGACTACCCCACTCACCTGAAACCCATCTGGGAGAGGATTCAGATGCCTACAGTTTGAAGTCTGAGGGAACAAGATCAGCTGAGGAGTCGACAAATGAGCAAAACGTGGCCTGAGAACACAGAAGAAGGCGCTACCCAGTCACCAAACCAGATCACCAGAATCGTAAGTATATGCTTCACCGACTGAGAACAGGTAAGCTCCCATCTCCTGACCAATAGATCAGGTCTCTAGCCCCTAGGCTCTACCCATCGGAGTACCAGAGACCAGACAGCTACCTTTCCCTGCTCCCCCACCAAAAAAAAAAAAAACGAAAAAC